GACTCAGTGGGGCAGGGCGGGTGGGCAAGGCCAAAACGTAGGATGCCGAGTTTTGGTAGGATCTAGCAAGCCGGAGTACTTCAGTGTGACCGCGGAGCAGGTGTGTGGGAGCGTTGTCTAAAATTCCGTCACAGCTCTCGGTGCTGCTTTGCTCACTGCCTTAGCATTCAGAGACAACATAACAATGATTCTTTTTCTAGAAGCTTCCCGGACTCAACCCCACAATCTGTCCAGATTCTAGATCAGTGTTCTCAGACATACCAGATTCAATAACCCAGTCTTCAACACGAATTTAAAAAGCTCCTTTAAAGAAAATCTGGATTAATTCTTTATGAAATAGTTTTTCTTTCTCGCAGCTGGTGATGGTTAGAGAGTAAGAATGTTGTATTTGATGATGACCCCAGGGTGAGCAGAGTGCCTGACTTGCCCAGTAAGGGCTGTGAAGGTAGATTTCAGTGCACTGAGAGCTGCGTGGCCAGCGTGACCGAGTGAGCTGTGTGCCGTCTATTGATCCTGAATTCTTTCTGGAAGCTTGGGCGGGAGGATGATACACTCAGGCGAAGGAGCAGATCCGCCGGACGAGGGCAGGAAGCGTGCTACGGCGTCCAACCCGGAGAATGGTATGTGGCTCCAGGATGATTTTTCTAAACTAGGAGGGTCTGATATCACTCAAAGTGTGATTAAATGGGTAGGAATTCCGATGGACTTACTGATTCCTACAAGGAACCCATCGTGCAATTGTCAGTGTCCTACTACATCCATCTGCTACAAGTCTAAGCAATTTTCAAGGCGGGAAGGAAAGAAATGGACACCATGTTTTACTGAAACTTAGGACTCCGTAACTTGTTCACATTCAAAATATCACTGCAACAAATAGAATTTCTATGAAAACACTTGTAAAAAAAAAATCAAGCATTCGCTAAAATATGTTCAGTTCCTTTAATCAGTGGAATCCTGAGATGCGTATTAAAACTTACTGGGAGTTAGAGTTTTTCCATAACTTTCACTTTTAGAAAGGATTGAGACAAATGACTCTGTGTTTGAGTTAGAGAAGGGGGATCCAGAAAACAAGTAGACAATTTTGGAATTAGGCAAAGCCTGGTAAGATTGTGAGGGGAAAGCAATATTGCTCTCGTAACGTCTTACATCTGTGTACGATTACCTATTATTTCATCTAAAGCTAGCCACAACCCTATGGGAAAACTAGCATATTCTCGATTTGCCACAAGGAAACTGGGTTTCCGATAGTGGGGCGACTTTCTGAAGTTCACAAGCAAGTGACAGAATAGGGCTCAAAGACAAAGCTGGCCTGAAATCCAGTGTCGTCACCACCCTCCTGAGCCCCTGTGGCATGTCCCAGCTGCCTGGTCCTTCGCATTTACACCAGCCCTTCTTTCCACCCCCACCTGCCTGCCACCCCGCCCTGCCCTCTTCCTTTTCTAGGCCTCTCGCAAGTCCTGAGGCTTGTGCTGCAAGAGCTAAACCTGTTCTACAGCCGAGACGTGAACGGACTGTGTCTCCTGTACGACCTCCTGCGCTCGCCGTGGCTGCAGGCTCTGCTCAAGGTGCGCCCTGAGGCGTGGAGCCTTCGCTTTGGGAGCAGAAACTGCTTAGCCGACAGTGCTGCTGGTCGGCTGGCAGGAAATTCCGCCTTGGGAAAAATTCTCAGAGCTAACAAACCTCTTAGTTCAGGAAGGAANTGCGCTCGCCGTGGCTGCAGGCTCTGCTCAAGGTGCGCCCTGAGGCGTGGAGCCTTCGCTTTGGGAGCAGAAACTGCTTAGCCGACAGTGCTGCTGGTCGGCTGGCAGGAAATTCCGCCTTGGGAAAAATTCTCAGAGCTAACAAACCTCTTAGCTCAGGAAGGAATTAACTTAAACGGCAAAGAGTATGGCAGCTCCTTTTTTTCTCCCCTAGGCTCCTGGGGTCACGAAGCAGCCACATTTATATCTTAAACTTACAGTGTTACATACCAATCCTATCTCCATAAAGCTGAGGGAAAACCCCACCTGATTTCTATCAGGCACTCTTTCCTCCTGGGATTGGCTAAAACCTGAGCATTGATGTCACTAAATGTGTCGCCCTTGCCCGCCCCTGGCAGGCTGCGGCGCTTTGTGCCCCCCGCATCAGTCCATCAGCCCGATCGCTGCCAGGGAAACCGAGCACTGGCACTGAGGTAGAGCAGGGAGAGCCCTCGTTCCAGCTCTGATGGAGGGAGACGGGCTGCGCTGGCCTCTTGGGTCTCATTTCTGCGTCTGTAAGAGAAACTATTTCTAAAGTGCAGTGAAGGGCTGCCCTGTGGAGCTAGTCAGGCCTTGGCGTGCTCGGCCCAAGCCTAGATCCTGATATGGGAAAAATTCCTAAGGGTCAGAAGAGACGAAGTTGGAATTTATGTAAAGGAACTTTTACTGGAGAATTAAGGAAAGAGAAGGAAACAAAAGATACGAGCAGAGTACAAATAAGTGTGTAGCGTGCCCGGCCTTTTCCTTCGGCGAACCCTGGTCCCGTGGTTCGTGTCCTGCCCAGCTGCGCAGCCCAGGCCCTGCAGGTGTCTGGCCCTAAGTCTCTATTGGTCTCAGCCCCAGAAACAAACCCCTCTCTCACTTTAACAAGAGTAAAAGTTTGAGTTTTTTCCAATGAAACCAATTAGGGAAGATCACTTTCCAACGGCAGCCGATAGCAGAGCCACTGGAGCATGAGAACCACCAAACCGACTCTGTTTCTCTTTGACAACTGGAGACACCGTATCAAAGGCCAACACTCATGCTGCTCAGCTGCTGTGTCGTTTCCCAGGCCGTTTCTTCCCTTGGAGATTCTTAAATCCCAAATGTCAGCAGTTCTGGTATCAACATGCCTCTCTTGCACCGCTGTCCTTCTGCAGGTTTACGACTGCCTCCAGGAATTTAAAGGGAAAAACCTCGTTCCTGTCACCACCCAGGCACAGGTGTTATCCTATGAGGTGAGGGGACTTACAGTTCACAGAACAGTAGAGCTTGAATGTGATGCCACTGTACTTGCAGTGCTAGTTTCAATGAATTAAAGGCTCTAATGCAAAAGTTTGATTGATGATTATACATCTAGTAAGTGTTTCTAATTGAGGTTTACTAATGGAAGAAAACTGGCCTGCAATCTCCCAGTATAACAAACAGAAAATAACATTTTTAGCATGTGTCCATTCTCTCTTGATTGTCCCCACCCCCCAACCAAAGCCACTCCTCTCCCAGTCTTTTATATCTCAGTAACGACCTCTTTGTTCTTGCAGTGCTCATGTCAAAAATCCTCGAGGTCAGCTTTGACTTTCTCTCTCTCTCATCCCTTACACCCAATCTAATGGAAATCCTGTCAATTCTAGGAATACCAGATCTTAACCCCTCCACTGTGCCATCTAATATAAGCCATCATCATCTTAGGTAGATAATTACAATAGAACCTCCTACCTGGCCCCCTACTTCTACTCTTGCCCCCTGTAGTCTATTCCAACACAGCCGCCAAAGAGATCCTCTTTAAAGGCAAGTCACATCCCTTCTCTGCTCAAACACTTCCAATGACTTCCCACCTCAGAGCAGGCTTCAAAGTTCTTGCACAGCCAAAGAGAATGTAGCCTCATTACCCCTTTGATGTCCCACTCTCTGCTCTCCCCCTTGCTTACTCTGCTCCAGCCATATTAACCCCTTGTAATTGTTTGAACCAGACATAACTCCTGCCGCAGGCCCTTTGCACTTTCTATTCCCTATGTCTGTAATCCTTTGCCTGTATATTCATGATTTCCTTCCTCATATCTTTCTGGTCTCCACTCTAATGTCCCCTTCACACTGAGGCTTTCCCTGGTCGTCCTATCTAAAATTGCAATCCCCTTATAGCACTCCCCATCTGCTTTCCTTGTTTTAGTTTTCTTCTTAACCCTTCTCACCATCAAATAAAACTATCTTTGACTTTTATTGTCTCTGTCTCCTCACTAGAATGTAAACTCTATGAGAATGGGGATTTTTGCCTGCCTAATTCACTGCTGTATTTGCATCACTCAGAACAGTGCCTAGCACATAGCAGCAGTAGGTGTTCAATAAATATTTGTTGAATGAAGGAATAAATGTAATTTATTTTATTATTATTTATTGGTCAAACCATATTAAAATAAATGGAAGGGGGGGGGAGAAGAAAAGCTCTACCCTCAATTCCAGTAATCAACAAATCAAATTGTTCTTAGTTGTCCAATTGCTGTCTTAGTGAACAGAGGTAAAGCTTAGCAAACTGCTTGTTTTCATTTAGTGTTATGTAATGACACCTGACTGCTAAAGACTCATGGGTCTGATTAAAGACTTGAAAAGTCTTATGTCCTATCAGAAAGCAGGTCAACACCTAAACCACAGCAAAGAGATCAGAATTTATTCTGTTCAGCACTTTCCCCTTACGCAAGTATTAAAATTGCTAATCAAATAATAAGCCCTGAAATACAAATTGCTATTTGTATTTTCCAATAGAAGAATGGAGCATCCCATGGGATTAAGCTACCTGAGTCTCCAGATATTTGAGCCTGTACCTAGAGAACTCAGGTATCTTACTTAGCCTGCCCATAAAGCCCTCATATTAGCAAACAGGTGTTTTAGAGCCACTGGAGAGAAATTGCCTTGGAACATATGATATCACAAAATTATATTAGCCCTTCTTCTAAGCCTGTGACAGGCGAGGCCTGGAGCAGTGGGGTTTAGATCTACCCCCAGTCTTGAATTCTACCTGCTGTAGTAAAGTTTAATAAATAAGAAAGATTGTAGGCCTTGACTTTAAAGATTGAAAAGATGGCATAAATAAAAACTTTTCTTAGGTCAATATCATACTATTCAGTATATCTGTTATCCAGTCTAGGTGAAGTTAACTAGGTGCTAACTATTTTTAAAAATTTTACAGTGTATGCTTTTTCATCAACCAGGTGGTGGAGGTATTACATGCAACCTCTGGTTCCCCTGAGATCCAGGAGCTGAGACAGATCCTCCAGGCTCCACACTTCAAGGCAAGTGTTTGCTGGGATAGATACAACATGCCACCTGGCAATGGACAAAGTGGGGGGAAAGAAAGAAATGTGATGGAAAATGTGCTCTCTGAATAGGTGTCCTATTGCTGTGCATGGGTCACCAACAGTTTCTACCAAAGCATGTGGGACTCAGATATGAGTGGCTCATTGTCGTCGGTCATGGGGCCAAATCTGACATATTTATGAGGAGACATCCAGGACTGTCCATGGTGTGTTATTTCGCCACTGCAAAGCCTCTAAAATTCTGGTGCAATCAGGACAGCAACCTTCCTTTCCATCTTGGGTATATTTTAAGTTTTGGATAAGGTGTGTGAAGGTATTTGGAAGCCACAGTACAGTGATGATTAGCTCTATGGGGGTGAGGGGTATATGAAAAACATTTGATGGCAGAAGCCTATCTCATAGTACTTACGGATTTTGAGATCAACTTATCAGAGAATTAGAACTTTAAGAGAATGTCTGCATTTGGAGCAATGGAATTTATGAGTCAAAATTGCAAGATAACCCTAGAGAATTTCCCCTGAGTTGCAGTGAAGTCCCGCCCAACAAACTTAAGCGGGGCTATGGGCTGACTGCTTCCCCACCCCATGAAATGAAAAATTTAACACAGTGGGTCATTTTGATCAAAGGACCTTTTTGATCACACCTTAAACCAGAGCACTGCTTTTTCTCATTCTGTTCCACATGGGCTTTTGGGTGTCACCGACAAGTTAAACCGGCAAGGCACTTTGATCTGCTCAGCCTTAATTAGGGAAAATATGTGAAAAGCTGTTTGTAGTTCAAGATCATAGGAGCACCATGGATGACATGGATTGCCAGGAAATGAGACGGTGACAGAATAATACATTTTAATGGAAATGAAAGAATCTATTATGTGTTGCTTACCCTCTCTGTGTCTTGTTTCTTTATCTGTAAAATGGGGACAGTAAATGCACCTGCCCCATGGAGTTATCCCGAAGATTGAGTTAACCCCCATAAAATGCTTAGAACTGCACCTGGCGTGCGTGTGTTGGTGTTTTACATAGTACAGAGTCACTGTTTTCTAGGTGGATATGTCCCATGTGTGACGTTTCTTTANAGTTATCCCGAAGATTGAGTTAACCCCCATAAAATGCTTAGAACTGCACCAGGCGTGCATGTGTTGGTGTTTTACATAGTATCGAGTCACTGTTTTCTAGATGGATATGTCCCATGTCCTTTTCCTTCTCTGTTCCCAGGCCTTGCTCAGAGCCCATGACACTGTGGCTCGGAAAGATTTTGAACCCCTCCTGCCCCCACTGCCAGACAATATCCCCGAGAGCGAGGAAGCCATGAAGATAGTTCGTTTGGTGAAAAACCAACAGCCCCTGGTGAGGAAACCATTTTATAATTTCAGTTAGAATTATACCAGGGTTCATTGTGAACTAATGAACCTGGTAGATGCTTGGACCGCATCCTTGCCTGTGGTCACAGACACAGTTTGAGGCACTCAGAAAACATGAGGGGACTCCATAATCACAGTGGCTAAACTGTATCTTAAGGATGTTTGCCTGTAGCTTCAAACACATTACATATTGTAATGTTTTCACTAGGAAACATTCCTGTTTAGTGTTTTTCTTTTCTGAAAGAGCTGTGAGAGATAAGACATATATTTTATTTTATTATTTGGCCTTCTGGCATATACATATATTTCACTCCATCCCAATGTATTTGCCTAAGCTTTCCCCCCTCCCTTAGTGGGAAGCTAAGTAAGGCATCCATTTGATTTTCTAATAGTCCCCTTGAATAGGTTGTAATTGTGGGAAATTTCTTTATCTTTGGAAGGACACAAATTTTCTTTTTTTTTTTTTTTAATTTGTATTGTTGACAGCNTTTTGTATTGTTGACAGTATTACAGATGATCCCCATTTCCACTCCTTTGGCCCCCTTCCACCCAGCCCCATCCCGCTCCAGGCCAGGGAGGATCCACATATTCTTTTATGTCTATGTGGTTAGCTAGAGAACTCGGGGGCCAGCGCTGAGGGCACGCTGTAGCCCTGCTTGGTATGAAAACCCTCCAAAAGGGTATTCACCTGAAAGACCAGAGCCCCATTGAGGGCAGCCACCAGGAGGATGGTCACGTAAGCTGAAAGAGGGGTTCCACTGTACTCTCTCCCCAGGGAGCTACCATCAAGCGCCACGAGCTGACAGGGGACATCCTGGTGGCCAGAATCATCCACGGCGGGCTGGCTGAGAAGAGTGGTAGGCTGGGGCGGCGGGTACAGGCGGGACCAGGAAAGCAGGAAACCCTCGCAGGGAAACCCCTCTTTCCCAATAAGGTTGGGGCTTTAGTAAGTGCCATTGCCTTGCTTGGCTACTAAGGAAAGAAGGAAGGAATATTCCAGAGACATCCTGTTCCTCTCCTTCACTGAGTCCTCCATTCTAGGCACCACATTAATGTCCTCTCCGTTTACATTCTCGTAGCAAACTAACAAGGGAAGGGAGGTATTATCACGCCATTTTACAGACGAGGAAACTGAGGCTCAAAGTGATGAAGTAACTAACTTGCTCAGTTTGAATCAGGATTCCAGTCAAGGCCGGCCGCACTCCATGCTCCCCACTTTCACTCTTCACTGGGTCCTTTGGCTTTCAAAAGCCATAGCTCCCCCCATCCCCAAATACCTTTCGCTGGCCCTTTCTTTTTTTTTCTTTTTTAAAATATATCTTTATTGATTTCAGAGAGAGGAAAGGAGAGGGAGAGAGAGAGATAGAAACATCAATGATGAGAGAGTCATTGATCGAGCCTGCAACCCAGGCATGTGCCCTGACCGGGAATCGAACCCCGATCACCTGGATCCCAGGTCAACGCTCAACCGCTGAGCCCCGCCCGGCCGGGCTCGCTGGCCCTTTCTACCAGTGGGCCTCTCACTGCTGTGCTACTGGAGCGAGCGCTTCTGTCCCTGCTGCTCCCCCTCCCCACCGTCCACGCCCGGAAGCCTGGCACAGGGTTTGACCCCGACACCCCTACAGTAATTCCCTCGGGATCTCCCAGTTACTAGGCCTCAGTTCTATCCCTGCTTCTCTGGCACCTCGGTGTGTGGCCCGTACCTGTCATCCTCCTCGGTTTCTGGGCCGATGGCATCATCCTGCTTCTGGTCCCCTCTCTCGGCCAGTTCCACTGCTTTTCTGTATGTTTCCCAAGGCTTAATCTTAACCCCAAGTTTCTCCGCAGTGCCTCTTTTGAAGGGCCCCCCGTTTTCTATTGGTTATCATTTCCTCATGACCCTGACATCTTTATTTTTAGTGTTATCTTCTTACCGGNTCTTTTGGTTATCATTTCCTCATGACCCTGACATCTTTATTTTTAGTGGTATCTTCTTACCGGTGTTCCAGCTCCATTTTACGACATCAGATTTGCAAAAATAAAGATATCACCATCAGTTAATGCCCCGGGTGGGTGACAAAGTGGGAAAAATGCATTTCTCATGCACTCGGGTGGTGGTGTGAATTAGAATAACCATCTTGCTTTATTAGTATTTATTAGTATTAGTATTTCACAATAAACTTTAAAATATTGGAGCATGCTTGAGTTAGTGAATTTGTTACATTGCTTTAGGATAGGTCCTGTATTTTTGCCAATGCCTTTGTTTTGTGTTCCTGATTGCCTAGGTTTGTTATACGCCGGAGACAAACTGGTGGAAGTGAATGGAGTTTCCGTTGAGGGGCTGGCCCCTGAGCAAGTGATCCACATTCTGGTAACAGCCTCCCCTTCATGCCTCAGTGAGCCGCAAGGCTGAACAGGCCATCCCGCCCCGGTGTGTCCCCTGTGAGGGGACTTGACCCCTCTCCACACTCCCTCTCCCCAGGCCCCAGCCCTGTCTGTTTCTGTATGCTCTGCCCCCCACACCTGAGAAGAGACAGAAGCAGGAACTAATTCCTGAAGAGGGAATGTGAGGCCCAGAGCTCGTCTCCTCCCCCGGTGCCTGTGGGAGGAAGACCTTGCTGAGGGGGTTTCTCATGGCGGTGAGATGAGGGTCCCTGGGAGAGGCCAGGCCTCGGTGCAGCTTTTAGCAGGCCGGAGACTCTGGAGCAGGGCAGAAGCAGAGCTCAACTTCCTCCTAATTTCCATTTCTGGGTGGTAATAGTTAGCTGTTGAACCCTTATGGAAGTGCCTGTGGAAGAAATCACCATCAGGCTTGAGCATCTGAGCCGTAACTCCGTGAGCCGAACCCAGTAACTCGCTGGACTCTGGGTTTGTCATTCTTCCCCCTTTGCCATTTTCTAGGCTATGTCTCGAGGCACAATCATGTTCAAGGTGGTTCCAGTTTCTGACCCCCCTGTTAATAGCCAGGAGACGGTAAGAAGTTGCTGAGCCTTCATACTACTGTTTACTGTAATGCGTTCAACGCTTGTTCAATACTGTGTTGCATAGTTTTCAATATGACGCTGTTAGAGGCAAATGAATAAACGAAAACAGTAAAAGGAGACGAGGTACCAAGGAGTTCAGAGTCACATCAAGAACGGTGAACATTTGAGCAAAATCTCTCAGAGCCAAGAGATTATATTCCCAAAGCCACTTTTTTCATGGGTCTCAGACTCAGTTCAAGAGGCAGGTTCTCTTTTTTTGTGAGGATGGGAAGATAGGAACAGTGGGTGGAAGAGAGGGAGAAATAGCTTTGTCTTCGTGGCCCATGGGTGCACGGGTTCCCCTGACAGCGCCACTGNTTTGTCTTCGTGGCCCATGGGTGCACCGGTTCCCCTGACAGCGCCACTGTGCACCCACTGTCAGGTGTACGTTCGAGCCATGACTGAGTACTGGCCGCAGGAAGACCCCACCATCCCCTGCGTGGACGCTGGCTTGCCTTTCCAGAAGGGGGACATCCTCCAGATTGTGGACCAGAATGATGCCCTCTGGTGGCAGGCCCGGAAAATCTCAGACCTTGGTTCCTGTGCCGGCCTGATCCCTTCTAACCAGCTTCTGAAGAGGTAAGAAAACTCACCACTCCTGGGCTCAGGACTGAGCCATCAGGAAATAAAACATTTCCTCAGGCTTCTGTTAGTGCACTTAAGATGAGATAAAAGGCGACAAACTNTAAAACATTTCCTCAGGCTTCTGTTAGTGCACTTAAGATGAGATAAAAGGAGACAAACACACACTGGTTTATAAATCCAAGCGTTAACTTATCCATGCCCTAAGCTTCTTAATTACCAAAGGATCAGAACAATAATACCANGCCCTAAGCTTCTTAATTACCAAAGGATCAGAAGAATAATACCAGCTAGAAAAGAGAGGAAACACAGAGGAAACTAAATTAAACTTGAAATGGTAGTTCCAACTCCCTCTATTAATTTTTCAAGGCTGACTTGAAACCTCAATTACTGAATCTCAAACCACCACCCTCACTTCTGTGCTATTGAGGTCCAAGGGAGTAAAGACAAAAAACCCCCACACAACAGATCTTAAAAGGTTGAAGGCTCAGCCCATGTTAATAAACCGGGAAGTAGAAAAGGGACTAGCAAAGGATAGTGAGAATAAATGACCAATGAGGCAGGATGAAAATCGGGACAGTAGGGTATTCTGATCATCTGTCCCCACTGCTGTCGAGGGGACCGAGCACTGACGATCGAATTCAGCAACATGGAGGTCACTGGGGATCCTGATAAAAGCGATTTCAGTGGAGGGGTGGGGCCAAAATCCTAGTAGAGTGGGATCTGAAGAAATTGATGACAGGGAGCAGGGAAAAAATCTTTGAGGCANGAGGTCACTGGGGATCCTGATAAAAGCGATTTCAGTGGAGGGGTGGGGCCAAAATCCTAGTAGAGTGGGATCTGAAGAAATTGATGAGCAGGGAAAAAATCTTTGAGGCCTTTTGGTGTGAAGCAGCGCAGAACAATGGAGAAACAGCCGGAGGGGAAAGGAGAGTGGTATGATAGGTTTTTTAGTTGGGGTAAATAAAGCTAGTGGAATAATCCAGTGGGAAGGAAGTTTCTTATGGCATAGGAGAAAGAGAAGAGAATTGCCTTGAGCAGGCCGAAGAAGAGGGGTTGGCCTTATGTGGGGTCCTAAGCAGTTTGTCCGCAGTGATGGTAACAGTAGGGGACCCCGAGAATGCAGCAGAGTTGGGGGTGGGGGACATGGTAGAGCTTGTGGAAGTTCTCTTCCAACCGCTCTTACTTTCTCAGTGAAAAAAGAAGCAGTGTCCTCGCTAAGAGTAAGGGTGTAAGGAGGTCCTGGGAAGGATCGAGGGGAGAGCTTGAAAAGCTCCTATGCGAGTTGGAGAGCAAGTGGATTAGGTAAATACAGTGTGATCATCATTAAGGGCCCACTTAAGGTGAAAGACCATAAGTTGGCAGTAATTCTGGTCAGTTTCCTTGGGGGCAGGTCCAGATTTGACAGAGAATTGGATTTAACAGTAAATCAAGAAAGAGCCAAGGTAGTAACTAAAATGAAGGAGCATGACATTAAGGAGGGAGGTAAGGGTCAGTGGAAAGGTCCTAGAAAGAGCAGTGGATTATAGGGCCTATGGGGTCAACAGATTATTGGGGTTGAGAAGATAGGAGGTGTTGGGGAAAGATAGGGATGCTGGGAATTGAAATGATGGAGGGATTGCAGCGCTTGGTTCTGAGAAGCTCTGGGGTATGGCAGAGGGAGGCGGTGGCTGAGGTGGAACGTGGGGAAGGTCCTCAGGAGAGAGGAGATCAAGGAACCGAGGGGCCAGTGTTAGAAGAGGTGTTTATATGCCTGATAAAATCATAGGGAATTAGGACAGAACAGTGTTGAGAGCGTGAGGTGAGCAGGGGTGACCTGGGAATGGTCACCAGGAGAGTGGGGGAATAATAGTCAGAGCTGGGGATTCTAGGGAGGAGGGAGACAGCCTGGACATGGCCACGAGAAGCAAGGACATGGGCCCACCTCCAGGTCATGAGCAGCGTGTGCTGGATCCAGCTGACAGAGCCACTGTGTGCACTTCTCACATCCACGGTCAGCAAAGTCAGGGTGGCAGCTTGAAACCCGCCACATGACAGCACTGACACTAGAGAAATCGGTAAAAGCTACATATCAGGGCTCCCCGGCGCCCCGAGCTGCTGTGAGTGGGAGTGGGGGACGAGTCAGCTTCCCCTTGGAGGAACCTGGGTTTTAGTTAGAGCTGGAAAGTGAAGAGCTCACTCAGAGAAGAGGCTGAGGCCCGAGAGATTTTGCTGAAGGTTTACGCGAATCCCTGGTGTGTGTGCAAGGGCCTCAGGGAGCGGAGGGTGGTGGGCAGTCTTACAGGGATTAGAGCACAGAGGATAAGGGATGACCTGAGCTTTGGGGGCTGAGGACCCGAACAGGGATAAAGGCCTAATGAGATTAGTCTTCATGGACCCATGACGGGCAGAAGTGGCCGGGAGACTCTGGTGGGGGTCTTGCAAGGGGCACACAGAAAGGCCAGGTTTGTTGGATTAGTGCCCAAATGAAGAGCAGGAGAAGGAACTGAGGTCATGGGAACTGTGGAGGCGCCACAGCGGGGAGGGAAGCAGAGGCTGCTATGAACATTTGGATGAGACCAGCTGCAGCAGGTAGTGAGCCGGAGGCGCAGGGCACCCCGGCTCCTTTACTGAAGCCTGGGCCTGTGAACTAGTGGCCACAGCCAGATTTTCACTCTAAGTCAGTGTGGCTCTGAAAATATCCCACGAGGCAGGAAAAAAAATAAGAAAGGCTGTGTATTTAGAGAATGTATTTGACAATGTGTTTGGAGAAGAAATCTTTCTCACTTGGGCAGACAGCAGAATCCTAGGAAAATTCTGTCCTGCATGTTTTACTTGGATTCACCGGGGTTGACTTTCCTTTTTTTCTCATAGTANATTCTGTCCTGCATCTGTTTTGCTTGGATTCACCGGGGCTGACTTTCCTTTTTTTCTCATAGTGTGTTTCTTTTCTCATAGGAAGCAACGAGAGCGCTGGTGGTCTCGGCCATGCCGGCCTCACACCCACCTCAAATCGACCACCTGTGAGTGTGCCGACGCCTCAGCCCAGCATCTGGGCGATGGGCAAGCTGGCTCCCTCTCCCGGGCTGGCTTCTGGCCCAAGACAGGGTCCTAAATGTCTCCGCTGCCCCAAGGAACCTGGCAGAAATCCCGCCACAGGCATTCATTCTTCTGGATTTAGAAGAGTTTTCAGTTTATGAAAACACAAATGTTTTTGCGTTGGTGACACGTTTGGTGATCACTCCCCGCCGTGCCGCCCTCGGAGACCTGTCCAGCCAGCAAACACGCACGCATGCCGGCAAGCGAGGCTGCGTGGCTGCCCACAGGCTTCGGGGGGGTTCACCCTGTTCAGAAGCTCCGGTTAACAGTTGGTGCGCCTTTGGTGGATAAACGTGGGACTGAATTATCACTTCGTGATGAAGTTTGTTTGCTGGACGGTGTTATTCAACTGGCAGGGGAGGAGTGGCTAGTAAAGGGATCCACGGTGGCAAATGCCTGTGAGCTACTTACTGCCTGCAAAGGCGCTGTAGCTGGCAGAGCCCAGGGGAACCGAGTGAGGCCCCTCAGAAATGGCCCTCAGGCGGCCCCGGAGGGAGTGAAGGGGGGGCCCTGGGGGGGCACAGGGAAGGCAACACTATCAACATCAGATTTGCCCGTGGCGAGTCTTCACTTTATTTCTCACTTCTCTAAGCCAAAAGTTATTCCTTACTTTATTTTTCTCTTGAAAAGATAGGATAGCTATAGAGACATTTTGAAAGAAGAAAACACACTTATAATTCCTCACCACTGACTATATTTTCACACTACCTTCCAGTTATGGAAGCGTATACATGGTTACAGTAGCAGCTACAATACCACTTTTTATCTTTATTTTAGCTTAACATTTTATCAGAAACATTTTAGTGATATTTTAGTTATTTCCCTTGTGTTTTGAAAAAGTTTGTTTACCAAACCAGCTTGAAATACGTCTGTAACCCATATTCCTATTTCATTTCTCAAAGACACGTGGAAATGCTAACAAAGCTTCTAATCAGTACCTGGTAACTAGTGCAGCCCCTGGCTGACACTTAATTTGCTCATGTAGCCTAAGTGCAATTTTTATCAGAGTTTTTGAAAAAGTCCACCCCGAAAATAGCTTGCAGACCCCCTTATCCTCACAAATCTCTAAGTCCAGGAACGCCAGGGTTGGAGCCACTGACTTAAAGGGTCACCTCTCACAGGGATGTTTCTGATGGGGAGCGATCATTTTCTAAACTATTGGACCATTTGTTTTCTTTTTAATCATTGTAGATGATTCTGCAGTAGATATTTTGTATCTTCCTGCTCTGCTTAAATGTTACCTTAGGAAAAAGAAATCTCAGGAGCAGTTTACTGAGTCAAGAGATTTAGGCATTTTTATTAATCAAGTTATTGAGAAATTTCAGGCTGATGTTAGTTTGTAGATGGTTATTAAAGTTATTTACTGAAGATGCACTTGTCCTTCCTTGTTTCCCTCTTTCCCTTCCTGCCTGCCTCCCTCCTTCCAGTCAAGATACCAGTTCCTAAAGTATGCCGAACTAAACACATTAATTCAGAAGTGAATAGAATGCAACCTTTTATAGCTTATTGGGATGAAAAGTAGGATTTGCCAGAATCAAGTAGATCCCCATTTTTAATAAGGCTCATAAATATATTAGTTTCTATAGGCTATTCACGTATCATTTTGTTACTAAATCTTTACTAAATTTCTAGAGAATAAGCCCAGTATATTATTACAATTTTGTCACTTTGCTTTTCTTATTGTAAGTAAGTTAATCTGAGAAACTGAGCATAGACTAATATGCTCTCACTCTCTCTTTCTCTCTCTCTCTCTGCTTCAATCATTTGTCTGTACCCAGCGATTTCTATGGAAGAAGGTAAGAAATAGTATTTGGGAAAAAACCCTCATCTCTAAAGTGTCCTAGAAATTTCTTGTCGTTCTAATTCAGTTCAATTCGGTTCAGCTATTTATTAAGCTCTTACTATATACCTAGTAGTGAGCTAGTTGCTAATCCCCTAATGTATAAAGAGATGTCAGGCAAAGAACACACACACAGTGTAGTTGTCCTAACACCGAGAGGAGTAAACGAAAGGGAACTGACATTTACTGTGTGCCATCCCAGAGTCGGACACAGCACCTCGCAAGAACTGAAAAAAAAAAGTTGCGAAGCTGCTCCACTGTTTTGTGTCAAGTGTTTTGCACACATTGTCTTCAAAATAACCATGTAAGGACATTATGATTGTTCCCATTTTATGGATGAAAAGATTGAGGCTCAAAGAAGGCGAGAACATTGTCAGAAGTTGCAAGTAGTGCAGAAAGTCAAAGCTTCAGTCTGTCTGAGGGCAAATGGGACCTCCAGTTATTACCCCTCCTCTTCACGCCCAGGCACCCAGGCGACTCATCTGATACCAAACACACACACTCACAAAAGCCAGAAAGCAAGATGCTGTCTGCTTGTGGACAGGGGAGAGAAGTGAGAAGAGCGGTCCCCTGGGCCTTCACCCCGTTTCATCTCTGACGGAAAGGGGATGGGGAGCATGGGCAGGCCTTTGGAGAGGGCTGGGCCTCTGTGGTCCTGGTGGTGACGAGCCCACTGTCTTAGTCTGCTTGGGCTGCCACAACAAGATAGCACAGGGCTGAAATAAAAATATATATTTTTTCAGAATATATATTCAAATCGCTATTTTGGTATTAAAAAGAAAATGTAACTCAGTTTAATAAATAATCCATGTACCTGTTATGTGCAAGACGCCGGAGAAAGATGTGTAGAGTATGCCAAGGTGAGCAAGACATTGCCGCTTTCACGGAGCCGTCCGGCAGTGACTCAGGCCAACACCCACGTGACCGTACGAAGCAGGCCGACGGGCAGTGGCAGACAGTTCAGGCGCGGGCCTTGAGGTGTTACAGGCGAAAGGCACAGAGGAAGAACCTGCTCCGAGGGGCGTGTGAGACACGGGAGGGAGACGGGTGGACAAAGCCTCAGAGCTGGGTCTGGGCCCTGTTGTGATGCGGCGATTTCCAACCCTTTTCATCTCATGGCGCACTTAAACTAATTATTAAAACTCTGTGGCACAACAAAAAATACATGTTTTGCCATCTGACAAAAGATAGGTATAATTTTGAATGATTTACAAAGTGACTTTAAAAATAATCAGGTGTTGTGTTGGTTTTTGTCATTTTCTTATTTGACAATCTAAGGGAAAAGAGGTCCGTGCCCCTGACTAAATAGTCAGGCATTGCATGTTTTAAAAATCCTTGCGGCACACTGGTTGAAAATCACTCTTGTAAAGGGTTTGCAGTATTAGGATGAATGGTTTTAAAAGTTATATTCTTTTATTCTCTTATACGTACCCAAGCTAAAGGTAAAAATAGTTAAAGTGTACTTACCATGTGCCTGAACTTTGCATGCTTTATCTCACTTATTCCTATGCTATGTGGTATGTCACGTTGTAATGCAGCGATTTTCAACCTTTTATCCCCACTTACAGAAAGAAAACTGAAGCTTAGGGGTAAACTAATTTGTCCAGTATTCAAAAGCCGATGCTTTAAAATATTTAACCATTTTATGTTATGTAGCCTCCCTCATAGATTTTCATTTAATACAGTAGAGTCCTTTTTATCTCGCCGAGTGAGCAGTAGTTGTAAGAGTAATATTATTATAAGGTATATATAATAAGCCTGCATGTGGGGAATTTTGTTTGGGATGCTAACACAGTAAGTTCTACCCTTCTCTTGCCATGCTCTTGTACGGAAGACGACATGAAGATTGACGAGAAATGTGTGGAAGCAGGTAACATTTCCTCGTGACAGATTTACCACCAGAAGGAATAGGAAGCACCTCAGCTATGGAGCCTCCCAGGCAGAGTCAGCCAGAGGGGCCACAGGCCTCTCCCCTGTTAGAAACGTGCGAAGCGAATCCCCCGCCCTGTTCCTTTCCCGTGGTTCTGACGCTTGGAAGGGAAACACAGCTGTGGGAACGGCTCCCGGTCCAAACCAAGCTCCTAGAAATCAGCGTCTTGGAAATGATCACGGCAACACTTAGTAACCCGCGGGTGTTACGTTCAGTAACATTCAGGTGGAACATCTGGAAACCACCGTGCTCTTTGTAAAATACTATAAAATACTGAGATATCCCCTAAACAAGCTGCCCAACCAAACCGTTCTTACAATTACTCTTCCTGCCACACTTGCCTGGCTTACAGAGCCCAAACCTGCAGGCGGGGCGCGTCCCTCCTGCGTCTGCAGGCCCTCGAGCAGCAAAGCTGCGCAACATTCAGCCATCTGTAGGAGCCTCCCGCATCGTTCCACCTTTCCCTGCCCGCTGAGACTCTTTTTTATTTATTCTCTTCTGTTCTGTTTCGTTATTTTGTTTATTTATTTTAAGCTCCTGCTGCACCCCCGCTTGTCACCATAGCCCAATTGCTATCACCTTGTATCTTATTTAAGGTTTATGTAGGCCACACAGACACCACGGCCTTGGCCTTGATTTAGGAACACAGCTTTAGAGCTGGTGTGTGTGCAGAGGCATAGGGTCAGGGAATTACAGCCTTAAAATCCAGATTCAGTATGACTATAATATAATGACACTTTTGGGTTTTTGCCTCCATGGAAAACCATAGATGAAGAAACATTTGAATCTGGTAAGTAAAAAATGAGTATTTGGTATGATTTTTAAATGTATAGAACATTTCAGATTCTGGTGAAATTTAAGCATATTTAGGGGTATGATACAATCATTGATTAAATTCATCAACAGTATAGATGTGAGATGTAAGTTCACCTTAACCCTTAGGGCTGTTTAGGACCTGTGAGGACATTTTTGGTTGTCCATAGATGAGGGGCCCTCCTGCCTTCGGTTGGTAGGAACCAGGCCCGCTGGCAGGCTGGCATCGCTCGCCCTCTCTCAGGGGTGTGTTTCATCAGCCCGGCACTGCCTCGGCTTTCCCGCCCTAGTTCCATTGAGGCAGTGGCCCTCCTCCTCTTAGCATACGAGTGAGTGTTTGTGTTCTGTGGTCCCCGCCTTCAAGGGGCCCGCTGGAGGAGCCGTGTGCGGGGCGAGGGGCGTGTTGGTGCGGGCCAGAGGCTGTGCAGCGCCTGCCTGGCCCTGGCCCTCACCCTGCCTGCAGCAGGCCTCTGGGGGAGAGGGGCTCAGGCCCCTAGCCTTCCTGTCATTTCCCTCTCTCAAGCCTCCTTTCCTGCCAAGTAGAGAGGAGTCTTCATGGACAAAAAGCTTTCAGGGGCAGTCTAGTTAAGCAACTTACAGGAAAGGTGACTGTCGCCCTGCAGCAGGGGCGGGTCAATGACGTTCTGGGTCCCTGTGGCGCGTGTTCCTTCGCCTTGCCAGGACTCAGTTACAGCTTTCTCTCGGGGGGACACGGACGCCTCGCTTTTGAATTTGTCTTATTTGATGGGTGCCTTGATCTTCTCAAAGGCTTAACTTTTTTTTTTTTTTTTACACTTTTCCAAATATCCAGAGGAACTTTCAGAAGGTAATTGTTATTATTTCCTGGGTAAGCCAAATAAGCTATGTTTACGATCTCCCAGTGCCTCAAAGTGAATACTTGACAGAATGAATTTTAAGATACATAATGTTTTAAGGGTAAAATTGGTGATGAAATATTCAAATTCATAGAAAATACTTTTAAATAAACAATGAAAGAAATTCAGCCTGATAAATATATCCCTAAGTAAACATTTCCTTTTAAACTTACTGACATATTTCAGTTAGAAAATAGTACTTACTTACCGGAGATGGAAGTGATATTGGTGTGTTTTTCTTACATTTTACAATGTGTATTTTTAAAAAAAAACAACACACAAAGCTTAAGAGAAAAAGGTTGCATGTGTCAGTTCATTCTATGAACAAATTCTCTTTGTGTGTTTTTCAATAGTCAGAACAGAGTTGTATAAATGAAGAGAAACATATGTTAGTAAAAAGTAATTTGAAAGTGACATTTCTATCATTTCTTTTCTGGAGTTTATAACAATTTTTCTGAGACCCCAGTAAAAGCAGAGACAGGAGTTTCAGATCCACCAGACACAGTTTTCCTCACTTTTTGTTGCTCACATTCTTGGACAGTCAGAAATAATTAGCAGCTGTAGAGCAAATACTAATTATACAGAATGAACCATTTTATGAGGGAGAAAATAAAAACCCACTGTAACAGAGGTTAATTATAGGACCTGCAGAAACCAATATCTACAAGTTAAAGCCAAAGCCAGTTTATCTGTGTAGTTGTTTTTTTTTAAATCAGTTTACTTTGGGCATGTTTAAAAATGTATACTTAATTTTATGTTTTTACAATGACTCAGTATATTTCTTATAACTTTACATAAGCCTAAGATAGGTTTTTGTTCCCAACATACTAGACAGAATGTGTTCAGTGTGTCGCTAACACTCTGAACAGTGTCTCTGTGTAGTTTGGTGCACGTGATGGGATGGAAAGTGCCTAAGATAGTCTTTGGTAAGTCACTCAAGGCTAATACAGCGGTGCTGTCATCTACTGAAATAGTGTCACTGAAGACTTGGAGATAATTTCATGCCTCTGTTCTAAGTAAACTTCTCCTCCTCCACCTGTTCATTCTGCTCCTGCTGTTCTCTGTGCCCCAGACAAGGAGGAATTTGTTGGCTACGGTCAGAAGTTCTTTATCGGTAGGTGCTGATTAATAAGAGGTGGGTCTTTGTCACTTCCTGAGTTATAGTCGTACCCGCCTGACAGTCTCCTGAAAGCTTGTTTTGTTGATGGACGTTGATGTTGTTTTATAGATGAAAGCTTGTTCTGGTCTCCCTCTATCTTTTTAGGGGGGTCTATATTCTGATGTATTGATCATTCATTGTTGTTCATCTGATTTCCACTGAATATTTCTTAATTATTTATCCAATATAAATCTTTTGTTTTCTGCCAGACTGTTCCACAAGTACTCTCTATTGATACAATAAGTAAAAGTATTGAGGATAATAAGAGCTGTTTTTCTTAGTTAGAGAAAGGAGTTACACATAGGGAAGGAGGAGCCTGGGGGACATGCTAAGATAAATCCTACAGCGTTGAATTCACATTGTAGGTATTGGTGTGAACTCATGCTTTTCAACATATATAGATACAAATATAGGTGTGTGCGTGTGTGTGTGTTTGAGATATACACATATAGTCCCCAGCTCTATCTACTGAGAGGGCCTGGGAACAGCTTTGGAACTCCCAGAAAGCGCTGTGGTCTGGCAGGCAGATTAAGCAGGATTCTAGGAGTTTGGAAATCACAACTGAAATGTCCGACTCTGCCACTAAACACACAGCTATGAGCAGCCACTGAGCCTGTCTGTGTCTTAGAGTTTCCACCTGGAGAATGTGAGTAATAAGCCTGCTCCACTGTTTCTACCCTGGCCGGAGCCACGAGCCCCCCTCATCTGGGAGTTGCCCCCAAACTGCCGTCCCCCAAGCCTTCACCTACTCTCCCTATAGTTTACATTTCCCCTTCAGCAACCAGAGGAATTCTTCAGAAACATAAATCAAATCATATCGCATCCACCTCTTGACCATCCAGTGACTTCCCATCCCACTCTGACCACAATCCAACACTGACTGAGGCCCTGCGTGGCCTCCCAGCTTCCTCTCCAGCCACCCTCCCACCGCTGTCCCTACCGCCCACTGCCTCAAGCGCTTCAAGCACACTTTTTGTCTGCGNCCACCTCTTGACCATCCAGTGACTTCCCATCCCACTCTGACCACAATCCAGCACTGACTGAGGCCCTGCGTGGCCCCCCAGCTTCCTCTCCAGCCACCCTCCCACCGCTGTCCCTACTGCCTCAAGCGCTTCAAGCACACTTTTTGTCTGCGTCTTTGCAGTTGCTGTTCCCTTAGCCTGGGCTGCTTTTCCCCCAGAGGCCTCCTTACCTGGCTCCATTACTCTCTCCAGACACCTGCTCAGTGTCAACTTCTCAGACACTTAACTGAACCGCCTACCTGAAGAAGCACCCTGTCAACTGCCCTCTGATCCTCCCTCTAGGCACTCATTGTTGTTGTTGATTTGTGTCTCTCGTCCATAAGTGTCAGCTTCATGAGGAAAGGGGCTTGGCTTAGCTGATCATTAGATGACCAGCGCCTGGCCCAACGCCAGGCACATAGCGGGTGCTGGCGCCACTTAGAGGTAACGTGTGGGGCATTTTGTTCTTTTTCCTTCATATCGCTTCCTCTCTTCTACCATCACACAGACATGACTGTTAATTAGCGTTTTCGGGTCTCAGTCGCTGCGAGCTCCATCAGGCTGGACGCTGGAGGGACTCTCTCCTGCCCGGCCCTTACGTCCTGTGCATCTCCGTCTCCCCTGGAGGGACTCTCTCCTGCCCGGCCCTTACGTCCTGTGCATCTCCGTCTCCCCTGGAGGGACTCTCTCCTGCCCGGCCCTTACGTCCTGTGCATCTCCGTCTCCCCTGGAGGGACTCTCTCCTGCCCGGCCCTTACGTCCTGTGCATCTCCGTCTCCCCTGGAGGGACTCTCTCCTGCCCGGCCCTTACGTCCTGTGCATCTCCGTCTCCCCTGGAGGGACTCTCTCCTGCCCGGCCCTTACGTCCTGTGCATCTCCGTCTCCCCTGGAGGGACTCTCTCCTGCCCGGCCCTTACGTCCTGTGCATCTCCGTCTCCCCTGGAGGGACTCTCTCCTGCCCGGCCCTTACGTCCTGTGCATCTCCGTCTCCCCTGGAGGGACTCTCTCCTGCCCGGCCCTTACGTCCTGTGCATCTCCGTCTCCCCTGGAGGGACTCTCTCCTGCCCGGCCCTTACGTCCTGTGCATCTCCGTCTCCCCAGCCGGGTTCCGCCGCAGCATGCGCCTCTGTCGCAGGAGGTCCCACCTCGGCCGGCTGCTCCCCGCGTGCTGTGCCAGCGGCTGCTGCAGCGCGGCGGGCGCCCCCTATGAGGAGGTGGTGAGGTACCAGCGACGCCCCTCGGACAGGCACCGCCTCATCGTGCTCGTGGGTATGTCCGCAGGCAGCGTCTCTCCTCACCCATGGTGACGTTTTCCTTCTCCATTCAATAGTCTTGCCCTGGAATAGTGGTAAAAGCAGAGCTTTTTATGGCCTGCCATACTAACACCCTAAAATACAAAACCTGTTTGTATGTGTGTATTTATAAATAAAACATTAACGTTTCATTCATCTACAGTCGAATGTCATATGCCATAGTGTATTTGAATTTATATAATTACAAATTGTATTGTGATGAGGTTATAACTGAGATTTTTTTTTTGCCTGTTTAGGATTTGTTCTGTAAACATAGATGAGTGTTGTCCCTGGATCATTAATCTGTATAAGAAAAAAAATCCTTAAGATTCATTTTTATAAGAAATTTGTACCCTCCTCCTTTAGAAAAGTGTCAAAAACTCCTAGAGTGTAATCGTTGGTGCTAAATAAGAAGGCAAATACAGTGCTGGGCGACCTGCTTTTGTGACCAACATCTCCACCAAGCTGGTCCCTGCAGCAGCAGTGACCTCGCCTTACTGCCATCTTCTCTGTGAACTCCAGCTGCGACAAGGCAGGTCCCTGTAGAGCTCACAGCCAGGGCAGACTGCAGAATCTGCAGGGCACGGAGCAAAATGAAAACGCAAAGGCCCCTTATTTAAAAATTATTAGGAATTTCAATGCAGCCAAAGAAGAGCAATTAACCAAGTGCAGTATCCTAAGCATGGGGCCTGTGTAACCCCTGGCTCTATGCTCAGGGAGTCAGCCCTGCCTCCAGGGCACGTNCCTCCAGGGGAACGGGGGTGTCGACTCAACCGCCTGTCAGGAACTGTGCCCTTGGCTTCTGTAAGTCACAGGACCTATCATGGTGGAACCTGATTTCTGGGTTGTGACATGATAGAAATTTCATTTGAAGAGGAAAGGCAAGTTGTCTCAGATGACCCAAAATGAGGCCAGAGAATTCACACAGGGTCCAACATTAGACAAAATTTGCTGCTGGGGTGAGAGTTTCTGGCAATTCCCCACCTCATTCCTGAATGTCGGAGAAGTGTGGGCTCCTCCACAGGTCATCAGGAAAATCCCCAAGAGTCTTCTGGGGTTGCTCCAATTTGTGAGACGGGAAGCTACATAATTTCCCTAAGAACATGTGCTCTCAAGTATTTTCAGTAGAAGGACTGAAATGATGATTTCACCATCTCATTGTATTTATCCACATCTAATGATTTCTGTCTGACTTTTTGTGTTTAGGACCTTCTGGTGTTGGAGTGAATGAACTGAGAAGACAACTTATTGAACTTAATCCTAACCGCTTTCAAAGTGCTGTGCCGCGTAGGTTTAGTTTCTTTCATTGCAGTTCATGTTTTGGTAAAACTTTCTTTGCATCTGCAGGTACACTGAACTCAGATATGTCCTATCATCTTTGCTATGAAAATACAAGATGCAAGGGACAGTTCTTAAAATTTCTAACTATATTCATTTTAATAGAGGGAAATGATTTCCTAATTAGGCTTTTAAAAGGTGACTTTGTCTTTTTTCCATTTCTTAACAATAATATAAATGACCTTTCAGGATCACTAATATTTAGCAATAATAGCTACCATTCACTCAGTACTTACTATCTTACTGGCACTGTGCTTGCCTTACCTTGTTTTTTATTAAAATTATAATATATGCACATATAATGTTTATGTAACTGTAAGTATTATTATACCATGCATGGTGGGAAGAGCTTGTGGGTGCTTCCCCTTCACCTCAAGGCAAGACAGAGGAACTTAGGGAAACCACTTAAAGAACTTAATATGTTTCTCCTGCAATTTAGGTGTCAAACTGTACCTTAAAAAATCAAAAGGTTGGGTACTTAGAGGAAGTGACCAATGGCTGTAGTTTGGGAAGTCGCTGACCTTCTAAAGTCTGTCACAGTAAAGTGTTCAGATGTTTCCCAAGGACCAGATCTGGGTGGACAATATGGGAGAAAGTCACCCTGGGGTTGTCTTAGTTTCTGCCCAAGAGGAATTCTTTCAGCAGAAAGAGGCCAAAAGCGGACCCCCAGATACTTCAGGGTGTGGAAGAAATCCTAACTGACCAGGTGGAATGGAGATGGACTTGAGGTACTCTTGTCCACATTAGTTGAATAAATGGGTGAAATGGTATCTTAGGGTTCATACGTAATTCACCAATGCTTATTTATAATGTGGTGTTCCTTTAGGGTATCCCTATCCTGGCTTAATACCTAGTACATTCTTGTCCACATCATGAGCATTAAATAAAGGTTTACAGATTAAATAATTTGATGAGAACTACTTTCTTATTGCCAATTCAGGCTCCTTCTTTTTTGGTTCTAGTATTTTATTTGTCTACCTGTTTATATATTCATTAATTTATTATGATTGGACATCTTTATCTAAATGCATATTGGTAATGAATCAAAACATTTTGAAGACTCTAAAATCTTTTTTAAAATTTGTTTTTTGACAGATACCACTCGTTCCAAAAAGAGCTATGAAATGGATGGACGTGAATATCACTATGTGTCAAAGGAGACATTTGAAAGCCTCACATACAGTCATAGGTGAGCTAGACATTTAGAATCTGATTCTCGCCTCTGGTTGTTTTACATTCAAAACAGAGTCCTACTTTTATTCACTTTCCAAAACTTCTAAGATAATTTATTTTTGTTTCTGAAGAATTAACCAAGGAAATGTAAATTGATATACTAGTAAACCAGTCATTGGGTTCTGAGAGGGAGCAGAATCAAAGTGCATATTTTAGAGAACTTGGAGAAGTCATTAAGTCCTACATCTCCTAATATTTTTTTCTCCTGTCAACTGTCCACTAATTGTTTTTGTGCTAGCAAAGTACAATATATCTTCATGTTACTACTCAAAGTATTTTACTTGTAGAGAGTTACTGTTTTCTTTGTCCCACCCCTGCAGGATGCTCGAGTGTGGTGAGTACAGAGGCCACTTCTACGGCACCAGCGTGGATGCCGTTCAAGCCGTCCTTGATGGAGGGAAGATCTGTGTCATGGACTTGGAGCCTCAGGTGGGTCTGCAGTGGAATGTTTCCCGTCTTCCCAAAGTAATGAATGCATGCCATCCATTTTGTGCACATGCTATAGGTTTTATTTTGTTACTGTTAGCCTTTTAAGGATAAGACTAGTTCCCATATCTAAGGGCCAGGATCTTATGCAGAGGATCGTTTGCTAGTAGCTTGTCTTTAGTTGGGGAATAAATTTAGTTTCTCAAGCACAAAAACAGAATTGAGCGGATGGCCATGAAGAAAACTTAGAGTCTTGCTTTGACCTTGACCACAAAGGCATCGAGGTAGCTTCGTAGAAGGAATAAGATGTTGCTTTACACAAGGAGGTGAGGTCCCTACGTTGTCATATCTACAGCTATCTCCCCAAGACCATACGTGCAATGGAGTGGGAGTGAGCAAGTTCAGGTAAGATGAAGAACATACAATGTGTAGGCCCAATTTTCACGATCCTTGTATCTTTGTGTTTTCTGTAGTCATTTAAAAATATAAAAAGAACCAGGGGACAATAAATTTGTTCTTATATCAATAAGGGTGTCATTGCCAGTAAGAGGAAGAGTCAGGATTTGAAGTAAATTTTTATTCTAGAACCCTATTTCTTAGTTATCAAAATGTTTTTTGGAGTTGAGAACTTGGGAGCACATGAGAATATACTCTGGCTAAAAATAATTGCTAATTTCTGGTCTTAGAAATTTTGAAAACATTCATGTTGACTCTAGGAAATTAGGACTTCTGTTTTTAAAGGTGCACTTAATTTTTCTATGTAGGGTATTCAAATGGCTCGAAACCATAAACTGAAGCCCTATGTCATATTTATAAAGCCATCTAACATGAGTTGTATGAAGCAATCTCGGAAAAATGCCAAGATCATTACAGATTACTTTGTGGACATGAAATTCAAGGTAAGACACAGAGGAAATGGATAAATGTGGTTTTTTTCCCCTAGTAAAAAATCACTGTATTGTTTCCAAAGCATCTCTGTGTGAAGGAATATAACTTTTCCCACTTCTAGAAATATATCCTAAGAAACCCGAAACACCAATCACAAAGAACTTATGCACCCTGATGTTCATAGCAGCGCAATTTACAATAGCTAAGATCTGGAAACAGCCTAAGTGCCCATCAGCAGATGAGTGGATAAGAAAGCTGTGGGACATTTATACCATGGGATACTATGCAGCTGTAAAGAGGAAGGATCTTTTATTCTTTGGGACAGCATGGAGGGAACTAGAAAGTATTATGCTAAGTGAAATAAGCCAGTCAGAGAAAGACAAGTACAAATGATCTCACTTATATGTGGAATGTAATGAACAAAATAAACTGATGAATAAAATAGATCTGGAGACATAGAAGCATGGAACAGACTGAGGGATTTCAGAGGGAAGGTGGGAAGGGGGGAGTAGGTGGGAGAGATTAATCAAAGAATTTATATGCTTATATGCATAACCCATGGACACAGACATTGGTCTGGGGAAGGCCTGGGGGTGGGGTGGATGCGGGGTGGAGGGGATCAATGGGGGTTAAAAGGGGACATATGTAATATTTTCAACAATAAAGATAAAGAAACTTAAAAAAAAAGTAAAAGTTGAAACATTGACATTGGGGGGAAAAAAGGAACATAACTTTTGTTTTTAATGAATGCTGCCCTTGTGATTTTTCTTTCCTGGACATCATTTATAAACAATAAAATAAAGTTTAGTAACTGCTATAATGCTACTCTTATTTTTTCTTTTTTTGGGGGGGGGTCTAGCTTAAAACAAAAGACCCTCAAACCACAGTTTGCAAAGCCACATAGAAATTGGGTGTGCACAAGCCTGATGTCTGTATTTAAAATGAATTACTTATTTTACAAAAACATTTGAGAGTTTACTTAAAAATGCTTTTGTGAATATATGTCATCTGTAATAGGAGGTATCTTTATGTATATTTCTAAACATAAAATTTTTTTATTAATGATGATGGTAATAATAGAGGGGCCAAGCCAAGTGGGCTTAATCAATGAACTTTTCCTAGGATCGGAGATACCCCCAACCCCCCAGTTTTAAAATTAAATCCATTTAAAATATTTTAAGTTAAATACACAGTAAATATTTTAAGTCATAACACATATTCAACAAGGTGTATAAGTCTTAAGTGTACAGCTCAATGAATTTTTACATGTGTATACACCCAGATAATCATCATCTAGATCAAGATATTACATCCACTTATTTTGTGTGTGGGGGGTAAAAAAAACAAACCCACATAACATAAAACACAAACTTACCATCTCAAGTATTTTCAAGGCTATAGTTCAGTAGTGTTAAGTATATTCACATTGTTGAAGAAGATCTTTAGAACTTTTTCATCTTGCAAAACAAATTAAACATATGAAATGCATCATGAATTTGCATACCATCCTTTGTATAGGGACCGTGCTAATGTGTGTATCATTCTAATTTTAGTATGTGTTGCTGAAGTGAGCATAGGTATCTTTATATTATCCATTATCTCATTATTTTTATCTTCATATTTTTTCAATGATTTCTGTTTGAAAACCTGATTCTCTAGTTTGCATTTCAGACAGTGGAGTCTATGGATATATTCCCTGAGTCTTATGGGCACTTAAAACTGTGTTCTCTCTCATTTTTATGACAATGTAAACAAAGTAACAAAGTTATTTCAGGATCACCTGTGTGGTCACCTTGCAAAGGAGTACTGCCTCAAGATTTCAGTGTCCGCATTTATATTTGTGTTTATGATTGTATTGACAAGTTGTACTATTTTAATTGTTGTGGACAAATTAGAAAACAACAGCAATGAATTTAATGCATTAGTGTCAGTGAAGGCCAGATAGCCTTCGCCGAATGAACATTCCACCACAGTATAAAAAGACAATATTATAGGTGAAGCAAAGTATAATTTAGGTATGCCTAATTCAATAAAGCCATGTCTTACCATCCTCATGCTAAAAGTGACCATTTTGTATCTGCAAAATAATGTCATTCTTATCAGATTAATGTTCACTTGAAATTTATGTTTAAGTTTTATTTATATTTAACTGGTAAAATTTTTTTGGTTTTATGTTGTAAATAGTTTGAGAGCTTCAAGTGTTTAGATAATATAGTACAATGGAAGTCCAAATGGGAAGTTGAGAGGATTGGTCTGTCTACAAACCATTACTCAATCTTCTAAAACCTTGACCAGGGAGACATTAATAAGACTAAAGAGAGAAACATAATTTTGGGGGTTTAAAACAGAGGACATTTATTTGATCTAATTTTTTATAAATAGTTCGCATCTGAATGGAACAGCATAACAAACTACTATTACTTCTACTCCTCTCATTAAGTTTGTACTATCCGTATTTTTTTACTTCTCTTGAAGGATGAAGACCTACAAGAGATAGAGGAGTTAGCCCAAAAAATGGAGACTCAGTTTGGCCAGTTTTTTGATCATGTGATTGTGAATGACAACTTGCAAGACGCACGTGCCCAGCTGTTGTCTGCAGTTCAGAAGGCTCAGGAGGAGCCTCAGTGGGTACCAGCAACGTGGGTTTCCTCCGAGACTGAGCCTTAATGGCTTCTGCTTAATGTTGGAGTTTTAACTACGTTCATCTGGTTCAGAGTTCTGGAGTAACAGCTGCCATCTAAAACAGCAGTATTTGCTCTATTATAATGTGTGCGACTTTGAAAGTCCTGCACATTATTAATTAATCTTAGTTGGAAAAAAACGTTTGCATTGTATGGTTATGTAGTTACCTGTTTGGCCTTTAGAAAAAATTGTTATGCAGCAGGTGATACGAATATGAACAAAAGTCAAGTCACTGAGTCTGAGAACCTTTCATAGATTTCGTATGGTCTTGGTACAAATCAGATAAAAAGGCCTTTCTTAAATAAATTTAGTATTTAATTTCAGAAACTGCAGTTTTCCTTATGAAATGAAAACGATTCTTATGGATTTTACAAAAGTGCCTACTTGACTAATTTCAGCAAGAAAGATGGGTTAAATACACATTTCACATCTAACATCGAAACCTACCGAAACCGCACCGCCCTCATCATTTTACACATCAGACCACAAGGAAAAACTGTTCTGATCAGAGCGCTAACACAATCATTAAATCTCCTAAAAGCCAATATCTACATTTATGCCTCAATTAGGACAGGGCAACGAATTTCAGGCCTGGAGACCGCTACCTGAGCAAACGGCAGGAGGAGGAAGCATCCAGGAGGTCTTGCTCTGCCCGCTTCCCTGGGCCGGAGGCTGCCCGAGGTCCTGCCCTGCGCCTGCCCAACCTTCCTTCTCCGGATCCAGACCCCCACCCCCCCT